CTCCATCTGCGCAATTTTATTTAATACTACAATAGCTGACACTAATTCTGTACGTCAGTCGAATCCCACTCTCTGATGCTAAATGTAAGGAGCAATAGCAATGACTCTATAGTCTCATTTCAGCTTTTCCACTTCTCACACCAACTGAGCAGAATCAGCTCTCTCCAATTCAACTAGGTATATAGTCCCTGTTCCTCTCACCCTAACCACCCCGAACTAGGCCAGCCTCACAAGTTAACAGACCCAGTCCTCCAGACTGCTAAATCTGTCCCAAACGTCAGAAATCAGTCACAAGGTTGGAGACCCTATGACACCCTCACTGAGGGCCTGCTGGCTTCAGAAAGGTCATGGACAAATACAGTCAAAAGATAATGGAAACTGTAAAACCTTATCATTTTATATCCCTTTTGACACATTTTAAATTTGTTTCCGGTTTTCATGTTTTCCTACTACCCATCCAGGAGACCAAGCACAACGGCGGGGTTCTCCCTTTTAACCTGCTGACTCCTGACTAGTCCCTTGGGTTCAAGAATTCACTAGAATGACTCACAGAGCTAAGGAAAGAACTCTACCTTGGATGACAGCTTTCTTGTACCTGAAGGATACAAATGAAGACATGTGAATGAGGGTGCGGTCTGGGACTGTTACCGATGCAGAACTTCCATGGCCCCTCAGAAAAGATGCATTACCTTTCCAGGTGAGTCAATACCGCCGACTCACAGAGCACCTGTCTACAGCCTTTCCTATGGACTCAATAGACACACACTGATTGTGTCGTGCTCCCAACTCCCTGTGGTTCATCAGTGTCACAAAGTGGTCTTTCCATTATGTCTGTGTACTTATATTTTCATATTTCCTTAAGGCTCTGTTCACTATTTTCTCCATTCCCTTTACTGCTTTTCAGATTACATAATCTTTATCAATCTATCTTGAAGCTCACTGATTCTTCTACTGACAACTCAAATCTACTGGTGATAATCTTCATTTTTATTGTCCTCCTCCATTCTAGAATTTCCATTTGGTTCTTTTTCAGAGTTCCTGTCTCTTTATTGATATTCTCTTTGCCCTTTAATACTTTAGAGAGGTCTTATGCAGTGGATTTGCCCAGTGTAATGCACCATTTGATTTCTTGACTGTTGCTTCCATCAGTCCTTGTAGTGCTGGTGGGTTAACGACAAGGTCAATGGATCAAACCCACCAGCTGCTCCTTGGGAAAAAATGAGGCTATCTGTACCTGTAAAGATTTATAGACTCGGAAACCCTATATTGGGTCACTATGAATCAGAATCTACTTGATGGCAGTGGCTTTTAGTTTTATGCTTCCCTGAGTGTTGACTGCGGATCCAAGTAAAATTAAATCCTTGACAACGTCAGTCTTTTCTGTGGTTATCTTGATATTTATTGTGTATTGATGTGAGTTAGTTAATTGTGCCAGCCTGGCCAATAATCACATGTGGTGCTGGTTGAAAGGCAGAGGGATAAATGGGTGGTGAGCCTCGGCCTTTCTAGTTCTCGGGTCTCTTGTTTTGTGATGGTTGCATCGGGTGCAGCT